TAGTTTTCTCCCCAATTTTAAGAAAAATTTCTCCAAGATGATTATGTGGAAGGATTGGAAAAAGCCCCCCTGTAGTTCCTCAGAGCCTCACCATTGGGAATTAGGAAAATCCGAAAAGACTGGTTAGAAGGCAGAGAGCATCTCATACACTTAAACTTACGGCAACCCCTTTTCCAGTGTCCTTGTAGTGGCAAAAAGTTGTAGTTCTCTGGTTTCCCTTGGGGCCTCTCATCTGCCATGGCTGAAAGTCTTGGCAATCTTACTTTTAGGTGGCTCATCTAGGGTACTGGCAAGCTCATTGGCCAAATTTACCGAGTCTAGGGTAGGCATAGTTCCCCACCCCATCTGGATCTTCTAATCATGAGGTAAGGTTTTTATTTAGCCCACTGACAAAGAATTAAAGGTTACACGTATGATGTCAACATCTGAAGGAAGAGCAGAATTTTCCTTAAAAACTACCTGAAACCTATTAAAATAGTCATGAACAGTTTCATTAGGCCTTTGTGAACAAGTGAGAATTTTGCTGCAATCCACAGACCTTGGGAAAGCCTTAGGAATTGCTCGATGTAGTTTTCAAGCAAGTTCTCTGGTTTCCTCCCAATAATTGGAGGTTTGCTTTCCTAAGTCTTTCAGGATACTCCCATCCGGCAATCCTCATGCAATGTCTTGCTTGGTCTTCACCAACATATTAAATAGCTGATATAAATCAGAAAATCCCGGCTGATAGACCTGAATAGTAATATCAAATTCCTCAGCAAACTTATTAGTTACCTTAGGTAACTCCTTTACAATGCTTCGTAACTCAGCTTTAGTCCAGGAGACATAGGAGACGTGGGGTTTATTAGGATCTCCACAAGGTTTCATCTTAAATGGGGAAGTACTGTTGTGAGGAAGGAGAAAAAGAAGAGTCAAGAGAATGTGCTTGGGGCTGAGCTGAAGGCTGAGGAGGCAGCAGTGAGACAAAATGGTGTCGGAGGCAGAGCTTGGGACAAAGGAACAGTGGAGGGAAGGCAAGGCAGTTGTGGAGGAAGAGCATGAGGTTTCAGCGCCATTTTGTCTCATTTTGAATTTTTAGCAACCCTTGTTAACTTTGAGACTTTATTTTCTAAATGGGCAAATTTAGATTCATAGCCTTGTTTGGAAGNTATTTTTAGTTTTTCATTTCCCTGGAGTGTATGGTGAAATGATTGTTCTACCAAGGCATGGTTATTGTCAATAGAAGCAATTAAGCCTTTACAATATTGAAGTATGTCCTTTCACCAACTGTGGGTCAAGAGAGGCAGAGGTCAAATGTGTAGGGTGTTCTGTAATTATCTTGAAAGGTGAAAACTTATGAGTCCCAAAAGTAGATCTAAGATTTGAAAGGACTAGCAGCAATGCTTTTGGCTAAGGTGTTTGAAGAGTTTCTGTAAATCTTGCCAACTGAATCTTAGTAATGCCATTAGTGCATCCAACCAGTCCTGAAGATTGAGGGTGGTAAGCACAGTGAAAATGCTGGTAGAACTGGCCAAATAACAGACTTGCTTTAGATAGGTTCTTGGATCACTGTGGAGTTCAAGAGGAGTTTCCCAGGTAGAATAATTTTCTCTAACAGTATTTTGGCCACTACAGACACATTAGCTTGTCTGCAAGGGAAAGCTTCAGTCCAGTGAGAACACATACATATCACGACTAAAACATAATTGTATCCATGAGATGGGAGAAGCTGTATGAA